GACAACATCAACTTTGACAGCTTCATGAACTTTATTGAATAAACGATGGTTCATTACCCATCAAACAGTATTTTCCCATTTCTCCAGCTTTCTCTGCCTTCAATATCTGAGAGCCTCCCAAGTATTTTATAAAAGTAATAATCTCTCTTCTAGCCTTTAGGGAAGCAGCTTGATAAGTTCCAGGAATTTTCTTCCATGTTTGCTGTTGCACATGTGAGAGCAGGTGTCCAGGGAAGAAATTATTAAGGAAAGGCTAAGTCAAAGAGAGAAGATACACAGGTAGTCTCAAATGCGGGGAAGGCTCTATTCATTTTCAACTCCCATGAAAGCGAATTTCACACAGCCCAAGTCCAGCTCTGCACTCACAAGCAACCCTGTTGGCAGCGTTTCTTTATTCTGGGGGAATGCAGTTGCGGATGGAAATCATGCTCACTGAGGAGGAAGTTCTCGCCCAGATTGCTTGGGACATCTGCAGAGGCTTTCTGAACATCAAAGCAGAGACTACAACACGGATTTTGTGTAGAATGTGGGAGCATCGCTTACAAACACTGGTTTTGGGTAGTTGGGGATATTTATTGCAAGCAGGCTTTTATATCCTCTACTGCTGGCCCGGCGTCCCACTCGCAATCAGAACTGGTGTCCAACGTGCCCATCGTACGCAGGATTGCCGGTTTCCTGAACACGGGTGCATTCCTTCCGTTTGCACAGCCCCGCTTTGCACAGGGCTCTGGCATATGGGGGGTTGAAAGGTACTGTGGAAGACCTAGGGTAGTATTTTAAGAAACTGGAGTCAGACACAAAGATTTGAATCTAAATCTGCCTTTTCTGGACTTTGGAGAAGAACTAGATGCTTCAGTTGCAACCGCAAATGTTATTATTAAGGACGATCTTTAGCAGGCAGTCAGATCCTTTGGGTGCCGCAAAGTTTGCCACCCATTTGATTAGAAAGTTGGGCTTGCGCTCCAGCACGAGTGACAGCAAATGAAGTGGCCGCAAAGTGGTCTCACTCCGGTTGCCAGCTTCAGCCTCCGACCTCGGGGCCCCCGGACCAGCCAGCCCGCGCGGGCACGGCAGCCCGGAGGCGGGA